GCGGCCCCAGCCCACGGGCCGCCGCGGCGGCCCCGCACGGGGAAGTGCTGCTCGTCTCAAGCCGCTGGGCCTCCCAGATTCAGGAGGAGAAAAAACCACACAGGCACAAATGATCGTCGATCCCCCAGAAAATAGGGGAAGATACGGACAGTGGGGGAAGGAAGACAAAAACCCAGCAGACATAGGAAAATATGGGGAATCCGGTTATTTGTGTGTATGATTAGTGTGTCCCAGGGCCCCCTCATTCTGGGCCTCCCAGATGGAGTCGAAGTAGACGGGGTCGGCGGATCGTGCCGCGTCGCCGATGCATCGACGATGCGGCTCGATGTTGAGCCCGATTTGCTTCACGCCGATGTCGCCGTTGCATCGCCGACGTCGACGATGCAACGGCGATCCACGATGCATCGCCGATACAACAGCGATGCATCGGCGATGTGGCGCTATCCTCCGACCCCATCTACTTCGACTCCATCTAGGAGGCCTCCAAAGTCGGGCATGTCCGTCTACAGGAGGAATATTCATGCATTGTAGAAATAATTTGGAAACGATTTTGTGTGTGATTTGTTTGATTTTTGTTTCGATTATGTTTGATGACCACGTTTCATTGGTCTTCCACGATCCGCCTGTGTGAGGAGGACATGCCCGACCTATGCCTCGTCCCGGGGCCCTTCTCGATCCCATCAATCTGGCTCGATATCTAGGGACGCAACAAATCACATGAAAATACATGTTCCAGGGTCCGCGCCTCCGGCGCCGCCCCTGGCGCGCTCCGCGCGCCAGGTAGGGGGGGCCAGCACCGGTTTGAGCTTTGATGTTTATGTCATTGCTTGTTCCCCTAATATCGGTTCAGGCAGGCCCGATCCTGGGACGATCGAAATGGGTACGGAAACAATGGGTACAAAGACCGACAGCAGTTTCTGTTCATTTTGAATTGGACTTGCTGTCCTCGCCGCCGCGGACGTTGATCATTGAAGACCAACAGCGGCCGCTATCGATTTGGGATAACATCTGGTGTTGGGCACTGTACCAATTTTTTCCGTACCCTATCGGGCGCCCCAAAATCCAGTCCGATCCCGATGATCCATAGATCGGATGCGGTCCGGTGTTCCAGGGATTCGATGTTCGCGCGGTATGCATCCAGGCGCGGCCGCACGGTGATTCAATTCCGTGCCGATGCAGCCCGAATTCTAGACGCTTCGCGTAACCCCACCAGTTATGGCCTCCTCGGTGCCTACCCCAGGCCCGTTGGACGCACCGCTGCATGCCCGTTCAGGGGCTGTCTCTGGCTCCTGGATTGCATCGGCCCCGCCGCCCTGGACGCTGTCGTGAGCCGCCTGATCCGCGGCCCCGCGCGCGTTAGGTAATTTAGTCGGTCCGCGGCCCGTTCGCGACCTCCCGCCGCTGGCGCTTCCGCCTGCGGCTCTAAAAAAAAAAGAACCACCAGCTGCAGCTTGCACCGCCGCCTGATCCGCGGCCCCCGCGCGCGCCCGGCTAATTAGTCACGGCCGCAGCCCGACCGTGACCCGCCGCCGCCGGCGCTTCCGCCTGCGGCTGAAAAAAAAAAAAGTAACCCCACCAGGCCATCCAGAAACGATGCCCAGAGGAATTGCCTCGATCAGGGAAGTGGGCAGGACACAGGGTAAGTTTCCCCCAGTGGAGGCCTCTTGGAGCGTCTTGGGTGCCTCGGAGATCTTGGGGCCTCTTGGGGATCTCTTGGGAGCATCTTGGAGGCCTCTTGGGCGCCTGTTGGGGCCTCCTGGGCGCCTCTTGGGGCCCTCTTGAAACGCTCTTGGGAGCCTTGGGAGCGCTCGTGGAGACATCTCTGGGGACATCGATCAAACAATAAGCGAAGATTAGTTTGCGTTGCCCCTCGGGAGCCCAAACAAACGCCTCTTGGGGCGCTCTTGGGGCGCTCTTGAAGCGCTCTTAAGCGCTCTTGGAGCTGTCTTGGGGCTCTCTGGAGCCTTTATTGGAGCCCTCTTGGGCCATCTTGGAGCCATCTTGAGGCCTCGGATGGCCATCGGAAGAGAAAAGGCGAGAAAGCCAAACCCATATAATTTCCTCCGGTTTGGGCCTCTTCGGGGCTCCTGGGGGAGCTCTTTGGCCACTGGGAGCCGTCTTGGAGCGGTCTTGGGGCATCTTGGAGCATCGTGGGTGCCATCGTGAGACGTCTAGGGATATGTCGTGCCATCTTGGAGGCAATCTTGGGTTTTCCCAGGCGCTCTTCGTGTCATCTTAATCAGTGCCCCCCCCAAGAGGCCAACATGTGGCTAAAACCTTTGTTCAATCAATGATTTGGCGTTCTCGCCGGGGCCTCTTGGAGCATGTTGGGTGCGTCTGGGGGGTCTCTTGGGGCCTCTTGGGAGCCTCTTGGGGGCATCCTGGGGGCCTCTTGGGGCTTCCTGGCCACCTCTTTGGGCCCTCTTGGGGTACCCTTGGGAGCCTTGGGGGCCATCTTTGGGCCATCTTGGGTAAGACCTATCACCCGAAGGGGGGGCACTAATTAGGGTCCCCCCCATCAGAAGGCCAAAATGGGGCCACAACCCTAGTAAAACCAATGATTGTGACTGCCACGCCGAGGCCGTTTTGGACGCTCCGACACCTCTCGAACCCCCCTGTCCAGGTCCATGGGGAGGGGGGAGGGGGAGGGGTACACCCCTCCCCGAAGGGGAAGAAGGAGGGGTGGAAGAGGAAACTCCCTAAACCACCGACGCCCAGAGGGCTGGTGGGATTAACGCGCCGTTACCATTCGACCAGATTTTCCGAGTCGGTGCTCGCTCATCTCGCATCGAGACATCCGAAGAGATCGGAGCGTCAGTGTTTGGTTGCAGTTTTCGGCGTCCAGAGGCCGCTTCCAAGGCCTGGGACCTTCCAAAGCCGGGGTGAAGTCGAGAGGTCTGATGTCCAGGGACGTTCGGATCGCCAGACGTTTCCAGACATTGTATTGATTCTGGGCCTTTCGCGTGAATCCACCAGTCCATCCAGAACAGATGCCCAGGCGAGTTGTCGCAGAAGCTGTCTAGAAGCCTTCTGAAGTCATCTTGGGAGGAGGAGGAGGTGGAGGTGGAGGAGGAGGAGGAAGACGAGGAGGAGGAGGATAAGGAACAGGAGGAGGAGGAGGCGAAGGAAGAGGACAAGGAAAGGGAGGATGAGGAGGCGGAGAAGGAGGAGTCCTGCGCGGATCTTTTGTTCGAAGAGCCTCGTGGAGGGTTCTTTGGGCTCTGTTGGGGTCTTCTTTGGGCCCTCTTGGGGTTCTCTTGGGGCTCTCTCGCGGCCTTATAAGGGGCTCTGTGGTGGGGCCTGGGAGCTTTATTATGATGGTCTGGGGCCCCATGGCTCGAAAAGAGGGGAAAGCACACTTGGGATGTCGAAGAATTGCATCCTGGGGCCTTCCTTGAGCATTCCTGGGCACGTATTGGACTCCGCTTGGGCCTCTCTTGGGGCAGCGCTTGGCCATTTGGAGGACCCAGAGGCCCATCGGAAGCGAAGAGGCGGCACGGCCAAACTTCGGCTTGCTTGGACAGTAAGAGGTTTGTTCTCTTCTGGTCGATTTGGGCTTCTTGGGTAGTCCATCAGGGGGGCTCCAAGGGCGCGTGGAGCCCTCTCGGGCCGCCTGAGGGCCTCCTGACTCATGGAGGTACGTCGGAGGCTATCATGGATCATATCATGGAGGAAGTCTCAGGCGGGAGTTTCGTCTTTGACTGAATTGCAAGGAAGTCTCAGGCGGGAGTGAGGCACCGCGCGGATCTGAGCGGGACCTCGCCGTCCCTGGGGGGCTGCGATCTGCGAAACCGTCGCCACTTTCGAGGGCTGCTGGTGGGTCCTGCGGAGTGAGGCACTGCGCGGATCTGAGCGGGACCTTGCCGTCCCTGGGGGGCTGCGATCTGCGAAACTGTCGCGACTTTCGAGGGCTGCTGGTGGGTCCTGCGGAGTGAGGCACCGCGCGGATCTGAGCGGGACCTTGCCGTCCCTGGGGGGCTGCGATCTGCGAAACTGTCGCGACTTTCGAGGGCTGCTGGTGGGTCCTGCGGAGTGAGGCACCGCGCGGATCTGAGCGGGACCTCGCCGTCCTAAGGAAGCTGCGATCTGCGAAACTGTCGCGACTTTCGAGGGCTGCTGGTGGGTCCTGCGGAGTGAGGCACCGCGCGGATCTGAGCGGGACCTCGCCGTCCCTGGGGGGCTGCGATCTGCGAAACCGTCGCAATTTTCGAGGGCTGCTGGTGGGTCCTGCGGAGTGAGGCACCGCGCGGATCTGAGCGGGACCTCGCCGTCCTTGGGGGGTTGCGAGCCTCACGAATGCCGCTCGCAGAAGTATATGCGCCCATGTCACGTCGTCACCTCCGTATAACGTCTCCCAAACTATTCATGCCCCGCATTGAGCAGGGGTTGGGTACGTCGCCAGGGTAATTTCTTGAGCAGGCTGTCGGGCGCCACGGCCCGTAGCGTCAGTCCTCCTCCTCCTCCTCCTCCTCCTCCTCCTCCTCCTCCTCCTCCTCCTCCTCCTCCTCCCCTTTGCGTGCAAGCTGCCCGCGCAGGGTCGCGCGTGAGCGCCCTCGTCTCCACTGGGGCGTGCCGTGCGGGCGGCGCGCGTACGCCGCCGCGCAGGGTCGCTGCGTCATCTCGCGCAGGACCCGTGTCTCATCGTTGCTCACTCTAAGCTTCTGAGGACACGTCCCTCTGAGTGCCATCGCCCTGGGTTTGCCGCTCTCAGGGCCGGGGGCAAGGCGACGTGAAATAACAAATGCAAAAAAAATACACCAAAAAGGTCAGCAAATACTCCAAAAATAGTCCCCAGACTTTTTTTATTATTTTTGTTGTTTTTTATTTTTCGTCGAAAATCCCCCTGTAGGGGGACACGCCCGACAGAAGGCTGGTCAGAGGGGGCGGGGGAAGCCCTCGAGGAGCGCGCCGCCGCCGCCGCCGAGAGAAGGCTCAGCCCACGGCCGGCGCGCGCGTGCCGAGCCGTGGATGGCCTGGGCCGCGGGGGCGCAGCGGGGGAGATGGCGGACGCAGGCGCCCCGGGGGGGGGCGGTCGGACGTTGTGGGACGGGGGGGGGCGGAGAAGAGGGGGGTGATGACCAGGCAGGAGCGAAAGAAGGACCGTGCATGTACATGAATCCGCACTGGTTTCGAGAGTACGCGTTGCGCGAATGTTCGTATCATGCGGCCGGTCTCGCGGATCGAGGGGCCGTGTTCATGTACATAGTTGGGCGCGTACGTCCTTTATGGGCTCCCTAACTAGGGGGGGGGGACATCATGGCGGGGGCCATGATTTTTCCCCAGGTTTCAGGGCGCCTCGTCTTGTTTCGTCACGTCCCCGGCCCCCCCCCGCCGGGCCGCGCACATGCCGCCGGTCATGATTTGCACCCCCCTCTCTTAGACACCCCCGTCTTGGCCGCTCCCGAGGGGCGGGGGGGGGGCTCGCCAGCAGAGCATCCCCGAGATCCTGGAGATCCTTCGCCCCGTTTCGGGCCAGAAAAGGCCCCCACGGGTCGATCCAGCTCGAGGGATGGTGCAGAAAGATCGGGTCCGGGGCTCAAGTCGTGATGCTCTGCGGGGGAGACGGCGGACGCAGGCGCCTGGCAGGGCTGGTGTCGATTTCTCCGATCCGATCCTACCACCAAAAAGATATGGGAAAATATGGGGGAACCTTTTTTTTTATGTGTCAGTAAGTGTAGGCGCCCTGTCGGCGAGACCACTGTCAGCTGCCGCAGGGGTGCCCCGCGCGCGCGGCGACGTCCGGGGCCCGCTCGACGCGGCCGCGCCCGCGCCGGCGTTTTTGTGGCAGCGCGTGCCACGGCCGTGGCTCGCAGTTTGGGGCGACTGCGGCGTGGTCCGTCGCGCGGCGGGGCCGCTGGCCCAGCCGAGGGCCCCCGCGCCCGCCACCGTCGCCCCCCCTTGACCCCGCCGGCGGAAAAAAGTACACCGGGAGCGTTTCTGTTAAGCCAGCGGGGCCGATCTAATGTTTTTTTGCGTTTCTATAAACACGCGCTTCTCTTTATATGAGCTTTTCGGGGCTCTTCCCGCTCGAGATTTTCTGTTTCGGAAGAGTTTAGGTTGAATCTACATGGAGGTTATATGTTTTGGCCTGGTGCCTGAACTTTGTTTTTGGGGTGGATCTAAAGTTTTCGATGCGCGCCCGTGCAGGGCAGGCCCCGGTCGCCGCGCGGGGCTCTTGCCAGCGCCGCCAAGGGATGCGCCCATAGGTTTCTGCCCTGGCACGAGCGCGCGAATGTCCACAATGGTTTTGGGCATCGACCGCGTGCCAGCACTAGGACACGCCAAGTTCGAATGCCAATGGGCATGGCAGCAGCGCGCCGTTCGCATTGAATGTCGCGGCGTTGTCGTCGGCTGACCGTCGAGCAGGTTCCGCTCTCAGTTCGCGCGTCGTTTGACGGTCCCATTGGTGTAAAGTTCCTCAAATGGGGGGCGGGGGGAGCTTTTCACGTGTTCACGATCGACCATCGCTGGTGCAGCTCTTCTGCCTCGCCGCGGACGAAACAACAAGTTTCGCTCGAGCCCTGCTCCCATGGGAGGCCCGAGACGCGTCCCGAGCGGCCGCCCCGAGGCCCGCGATCCGCGGCCCGCAGGCCGAGCGACGCGCGCCATTCGGCGGTGGCCTCGAGGGGCGCGCCAGGGGGGCGCTGCCCTCGCTGGGCGCGGCGCCTCGGGAGGGGGCGCACCGGGGCGCCGTGGCGGGTGCCGTCGGACGTCGTCGTGGTCGTCGACGTCGTCGTCGTTGGCGCCTGCATGCCGCTGCCTTTGGCGGCCTCATCGGCGACCCGTGGCAAGCGAATTCGGCAGGCGGGAGGGGTCCAGGGGCAGGTCCGGGGAGGGAGGGAGGAAACAGGAGGGGCCGGGCGGTCTGACACCGTCCCTGGGTGCGTGGCCGAAGCGGCATTCTGCGGGGCGGGTTCAGTTCGTTGGTGTTGCTGCGGTTTTTGTCGTCGCCCTCGCCTGCGCCCCCCCCGCGACCCACCCCGCGACCCGCCCCGCGGCCCACCCCGCGCCCCTGTCCGCGACCCACCCGCGATCCAGCCCTCGCCCGCGCCTGCACTCCCATCCGCTTTTGCAGGAGAGAGAGAGAGAGAGAGAGAGGGAGACAGAGAGAAAGAGAAAGAGAGAGAGAGAGAGAGAAGGAGAGAGAGTGGGAGGGTATGGAGTACGCTGCGCTACGCTACTCCCGATCGGCCACAGGGCCTTGCCAATCTAGAACTCGGTGGGAAAAGTGGACGCTCCAGAACTTGGAGCGGCGGGTGTTGGGCCGTGTTCGGCCGCGCGGGGCTCTCGCCGGGCCTCGGGAGCGCCAACAAGAGCCACTCGGGACGAACAGCTCGGCATCGCTCGGACGTGTGCGTTTTTTCCTCGGCGAGGGCCATCGAGAAGCATCTTTGATCATTTGGCGAAAAAGCCACGCACGGAACCGAAAAAAACACACGGAATGGACGTCCGAGCGATGGCGAGACAGCAGTTCCAGACCCCCATCGCTTTGTGAACAAACCGCGACGGCATGTGTTGTTCGCTATATTTTCGGCCGCTGGGGCCCTTGCCGGGATGTCGGGGCCGTCGAAAAAAACGGCGTGCGCGGCGGCGGGCACCTTGTCGGATCGGGGACAGCACCTCCTTTTAGGGCATCGTGCCCATGTGGTCCGCACCCGCGTCGGGCGTGCCGGGAGACGGTGGGCAGAGCCAAATGGGGCGGAAAAGTATTGTTCAGAGGGCAGCAGTTCTCCTCTTGGGCATCGTGCCCCTGTTGTCCGCACCCGCTCCGGGCGTGCCGGGAGACGGCCGGCAGAGCCAAATGGGGCGGATAATAATTACTGTTCGGGGGGCAGCAGTTCTCCTTAGGCATCGTGCCCATGTTGTCCGTACCCGTGTCGGGCGTGCCGAGGGACTGTCGGCAGAGCCACATGGGGCGGATAGTTCTGGGGTGGGCAGTGCACGTATTCGCCAGGGAGCATCGTCGAAGACAGGGACGATCGATCGGGTCGCTTGGGCAATTACAGTCGGGGCCCTGAAGAAGGAGCCCTTTTCGTTGGGGAGGGGCTCCGCGTTCCTTAAGTGTTTCACAGCTTGCCTCGGGCTTTCTTTATGTTTTCGACAGGAAATCTAAGGTTAACTTATGGAAAAAAGGGGCCTCGTTTCTTATTTAGGGTTCCTTCGGTCAACGCCCCGACTGTACATGTTGTGCTCCTCCACATCGGAACAGTTGACGAACGACGCAAGGGGGCGCGGCGTGCAGTCGCGGCGGCGGTCAGCAAGCACTGGCCTCCCGCCAAGGAGAGAGAGAATGAGAGAGAGAGAGAGAGAGAAAAAGAGAGAGAGACCACACACCAACACGAGAAGCACAGATACAGAGGGGGTACACACCAAAACTATAACACACATGCGCAGAGACGCACAGCAAGACAAAGAGAGAGGAGGAGAGAGAGAGAGAGAGAGAGAGAGAGAAACAAAAAAAGAGACCGTGCGAGAACGACGAGAGGGTGTGAGAGAGAGGGAAGATACATAGATGTACATAAGAGTAGACGTGCATATGCAAAGGGGGAGAGGGAGGGAGAGAGAGGGAGAGAGAGAGAGAGAGAAAAACCAAAGAGAGAGAGAGAGAGAGAGAGAGAAAGAAAGAAATACAGAAACAACCAACACACACAGGAACACAAAGAAGGGAGAGAGAGAGAGAGAGAGAGAGAGAGAGTCCCCGCCCGAGCTCGGCGCGCGCGATCCCGGCGCTGGGGAGATCCGTCCTTGCAGCACGCGATGACCCCGGAGGGCGAGCCGCTCTTCACTCGAGAGGACTGCCGCCGCCAGGGCGAGGGCGAGCAGGAAAGACAGATTTCAGGAGGGAAAGGAACACACAGACACAATTAATCGTCGATTCCCCAGAAAATATGGGAAAATATGGGAAGTGGGGGTGAAGACAAAAACCCAGAAAATATAGAAAAATATGGGAAATCGTTTTATTTGTGTGTCTTTATTTGTGTGTTACGTCTGCCACGCTACTCCGCTCGTGTTTTTGCCTCGTCTGCGGCTTCTCTCCGTCCCTGCCGCCCTCGCGTCCCCCGCGCGTGCCGCGGGCACGTGCACGCAGCAGTCGGGTATGGCCAGGGCCCCGGGTCAGGGGAGCCGGTTAGTGGTCGGGCCCTGGGTCCCCTCAATTGGCCAGATTCATTAGACCAGGTTTGCCGTCACTGGTGTTGTTCGGGTGACGGCAGTTCCGGTCAGTGGAAATGGGGCGGGGGGGCGCCCCAGGTACAAATCGCTAAACCGGGTTCCTTTAAACCCAGTTCTGCCAACGCCCGAAGCAGGCAGTGACATGTCAGATGCTGGTCTCTGTTTTGCAGCCTGCCGCGGTCAGACGGCGGAGGCAACCTGGTGGATGCAGTTTGTGGCTGCTTCTGCTGCAAAGGAGTGACGCTTGCTGTGACGCAACCTGACGGCTTCACACTGAGTCAACGTAGTAGTAATTCGAGGAGGCTGGATGGACGTTGGCCAGAAGGAGCCGTTCTTCAGAAGGGACACACACTGAGGAGGCGGGATGGAGGGATGGACAGCGGTGGGAAGGAGGGAGAAGGAGGGAGAAGGAGGGAGGCGGGACGATTGGGATGTGAGAACAGGGGAAGGAGGATGAGGAGGAGGTAGGGAGGGAGCGAGCGAGTGAGAGTAGGAAGTGCAGGCTGGGTGGATTGGTTGGAGGGGGGGGGGTCGAGGGGGGGGGGACAGGGGGACGACTATGACTGCGACCGACTGTCGGGGGAGGGGAGGCAGAGAATGGGGGCGGAGAGGGATACGGAGGAACGCGGAGAAGGTCTGGACCGATGGGTGGTGTGGCGGGGGTCTTTTCGGAGGGGGCCTCTGCCGAACGGCGGCGTGCCGCGGGGAGCTGGAAGGTCTGGGCGGGGCAGCGAGGGAGGACGGGGGCCGAGAGTCGGCGGTTCAAAGGTCGGGGCCCGAGGGATGGGGCTCTGGGTTGTCCTCGAACAAGGGAGGGTTCGGCTTGGGATCCCTTTCCCATCCCTGGGGCCCCATCCCTCAGGGCCTCATCTTTGGATCGCCCGAGGAGGAGGAAGACGAGGAGGAAGAGGAGGAAGAGGAGGGGGAGGAGGGGAGGAGGAGGAGGAGGAGGAGGAGGAGGAGGAGGAGGAGGAGGAGGAGGAGAGGAGGAGGAGGAGGAGGAGGGGGAGGGGGAGGGGAGGAGGAGGAGAGGAGGAGGAGGAGAGGAGGAGGAGGAGGAGGAGGAGGAGGAGGAGGAGGAGGAGGAGGAGGAGCGGTAACCTGACCTCCTGGCGGCGGGCGTAGGGGGCCCTGGCCGGGCCCCGGGACTGTCACGACATGACTCGGGATGACAAGTCGGTCGCGGGGGGGCAACCGCAGGGAGTGGGATAGGCTCGCCGGGGGATGCATCGACCCGCGGTTGCTCATGGATTTCGCAGGTGCTAAGTCCGCAATGCGTCGTGTATTGTGTTGATTACGAGGTGCAACTCATCCGTTGCGGCCCCGAGCACGCTTGGCCTGCAGTGCAGCTTCTGCATGAGAATCCGTGGTGCACTCCACCAACTTCTTTTCGTCCTGTCCCTCCCCTCTCTGTCCATCCTCCTCGACTTGGCGCTCTCCCACGGGCATACCCGTTCTTCCACTCCTCCTGCCTTCTCCGCCTTACTCATCTTCACCTCCTCCCTGCGCCTTCTCACCCCTTCTAACCGCCTCCCTGCTCACCTCCTCCCTGCGCCTTCTCACCTCCTCCCTGCTCACCTCCTCCCTGCTCACCTCTTCCTCACCCCCTCCCTGCGCCTTCTCACCTCCTCCCTGTGCCTTACTCCTCCTCCCCCCCCTTCTCACCCCCCTCCCTGCGCCTTCTACCAGGATGCGATCGTGGAGTTCACCAAAAAGTTCCACATCGATGAAGCGGTCGCGCACGCCTTGCCTTTGCGGGAGGAGGGGGAGGAGGAGCGAGCAGGAGGAGGAAGGAGCAGGATGAGTAGGAGGAGGAGGAGGAGGAGGAGGAGGAGACACAGGAAGGAGCAGGATGAGTAGGAGGAGGAGGAGAAAGGAAAGAGCAGGGTGAGGAAGAGGAAGATGAGGCGGCAGAGGATGAAGAGGGATGGGGAGAATGAGGGGGACGAGAAAGGGGAGAAGGAGGAGGAGGAGGAGGAGGAGGAGGAGAAGGGAGGAGGAGGAGGAGGAGGAGGAGGAGGAGGAGGGAGGAGAGGAGGAGGAGGAGGAGGAGGTTGTTTGGAGGGAGGGGATGAGGAGGGCAGAGGCAGGTTTCCATACGTTCTGGATGTTGCCGAGGTTTTCTTAGTGTGGTGCACGTTTCGGGGGAATGAGGAAGGATGACGGAGGAGGAGGAGGAGGAGGAGGAAGATCAGGAGGAGGAAGAACGGGGAGACGGGAGGGGAGGGGGGGAGCAGCATATCATATCGGGGGCCCCGCGATATCCATTATGTTCTAAGTGTTGTCGGGTTCCAGGGGCGGTAATTAAGGAGCGCGGAGTTTCCTAGGGCTGGCCAGGAGGAGGGAGGAGCTTGGAGATTGAGAGAGGCATCAGGGGGGAGGACGCAATTACAGTCAACACGGCTAGTGAGGATGTGTGATTTCCACCAGGTTCTTGTTGCATGTGTACCTCTCGGCGCCCATCGTTGGCCACTTTCGCTGGCCGCGCCCCGCTCGAGAAGTGACGGCGTAGCCTTCCAAGGCCTTTGCATCCCTATCGTGCATCCTTACTATGCGCGTTGACTGTAGAGCGCAAACTAAGTCCAGGCCACATGTGCCAATCACATGTGTTCCAGTATCAAATTCGATTACACATAGTTACCAACACTACACATTAGCACGGCTCGCAGAAGATCATGAGACCCGTAGAATCCGAAGCATGCCAGTCCAAAGTGAAGTGCGCATTCCGCGGTCGAGCGATTATGGGCGTTCGCGGGAAGTCCAATGAAGGGTTCTCCGTTTGGGAGTCTCTTTTTTCTCTTCGTCTTTCTCTTCTCCTGGCGCTGACACGTTTTAAGGGGTATGCCGTATCGTCCTATGCTATATTCTTTCAGCCCGCACTGGATCGAGTAAGGAGTTGATCGAACTTCCCCCCCTTTCTAGAGACAAGTTCCGAATGATGCAGTTCACGAATGATGCCGTATTTCGAGGTCCGTTGGGAACGATCGAAACCATTTCGTTGGTTGGTACGAAACTTCCTGAACGTTTTAAATATCGAAGGGATTAGTCGGGAGCCAGCGGGCGTGCTTTGACTGGCATCACCACCCACCAAGGTGTCCCAAAGTCCGTTCGTATCTGATTTCTTTAAGGAATACGTGTGGTTTATTGATTTTCCATGTGGACGAGCACGAGTCAGCAATATTCGCTGGTTTTCGTGATGAGCACGCACGAGCCCAGAACACACGACAGTAATGCGGGTCTCAACGGCGCTATGCGTGCCGCAGCTAAGATGTCTGAGTATGTTGCGCCACGCGCCACAGGCAGCACAACGCAGTATCCGAAGATGAGTGGGAGTTGGCGACTTGAAATAGTTCTAAAGCTATCAATGTTAGCCAGCGTGGACGCCAAACAGTGTAATTCTAGCAATATACGTTGTGCAATCGATGTGGTGTGTGTGGTGTGAACAGGGTAGTTTCATCTAAGTAGTACAATCTATGCTGCACACTATATGTGGTGCAAGCTGTGTGGCGCATTCTAGATTGTGCAATGTACTTGTGTGGCACAGTCTATGTGATGCAATATATGTTGAGCGATCTACGTGGTGCAATCCATATTGTGCTATACATGTGGTGCAAACTACGTGGTGCAATATATGGTGTGTGTGAGCTATGTTGTGCAATATCTATACATTGATATATATATATATGTATATATGTGGTGAATCCTATGTGTGCAAGCTGTGTGGTGCAATCTGTTGACGGCGATGTCGCGGGAACAACACACATACCTAGAATGCGGGCGGCGACGAGGCGGTGACGGGGCGGCAACGGCGGCTACATAGCCGCCGGACCAACGCACAGGCCCAGACGACTGGCTGCGACAAGGGTGCAATGGGGGGGCGACGGCGGCTACGTAGCCGCCGGACCAGCACGCAGGCCCAAGTCCTTAGACAAGACGTGAGAGCCCGTACGGGCAAACATTGTTTGTGGAATATGGTACAGCCGAGAAAGTTCGGGGTGAATCGGAATTCATAATGACAAACCAGACATGCATGCCGCATTATTCATCCATTTGGGTCCATTAGACCTGTGTGATTCCGCAGGATAGTGACCTACACGTGCGAATCTAGTGGTTGCCAATCCAACATTGGAATCCATCAGTAACGATGACAAGCTTCCAAATCGACGTTCATAGTAATTCACATGCGTCAGAGTTATGGACAGCCGTTGGGACGAGTTACATGTAGAAATGATCTAACGAGACCAAATGGGGGCCGTAAGGGATCTATCGCTGCTAGAGCGTCCCAATATTCAGAACTGTGGAAGCCAGAGCGAGATAGTCTTCTTAGGGTATCATTCAGATCTTGTCATCAAATTGACCAAGCGGGCTTTATTTGAGAACTGGCATATCCAGCTTCATCCTCAAGCAGCAACAATTAGCGCCCGTGAATGTGAGTATGATAATTCTTTTCCGTTCCGAGCTATAGAGGTCCGTTGGACATGAGGAGCGCACGGACTCTCAAAGCAATTCACGCAGTAATGATAAGACATATCCAGCTGTGGAACAGCATCCGATGTGATAACACAATTGCTGACGAGCGGCCTAAAGGATTAACTTCAAACTGCTCGCAGACGAGCGAGAGCACACATTACTTGACGAGTGCACCATGCGTCGCACGTGCCTTCTCGTGTCCTCTCTCCACCCCTCTTTGAGCTCTGGGAGCCGATTGCCCTTCCTGTCCCCCGTCCCCTGAGATCCGACGTTGCGAAACAAATTGTAACATCGCCAACATTCACGACCGGAGCCCCGGACCCGTTCTTTATTCGTCATTCTTGGAACCGGCTCGGCCCGTGAGGGCTCCAGTCCCGAGACGGGGCGACAACGCCCGTTTGTGCAAAAACAAAGGCAGCGCCTGGATCTCAAGGCCCACCTCTTTCCCCCAACCTTCGGACGGGCTTGCCCTCCTACAGACGGGTTTTGGAAGAGACATAAAACATAGTCAAGCAGTCACCAATTACCCTAATGCGACCCTACCTAGAAGTTGGAGCCCCTAGGAAAGCAGCATTAGTTGCTATGCTATACTATGCTATGATATGCTGTGCTGTGCTGTGCTGTGCTGCGCTATGCTATGCTATGCTATGCTATGCTATGTTATGCTGGGCTATGCTATGATATGCTGTGCTGCGCTATGCCATGCTACGCTATGCTATGCTATGCTGTACTCTGCTATGCTTAAGCTCAGCGAAGCTAAGATGAAGGTAAGCTAAGCTCAGATAAACCTGAGTTAAGATGAAGCTGAGCCAAGCTAAGATGAAATAAGTTAAGCTAAGATGAGATACGCAACGCTAAGCTAAGGAGACGTAACTGGGGGAACCGCGGGGCGGATGCCGGGGGAACCGCCCGGGGCGTTATCCGCTGCCCGGCCCTTCAAGCATAGACAGTAAGAACCCTTCTAGGCAGAGCCTAGGTAGGGAAAAAGCGGTCATTAGAGCACGAAATATCGTCACCAGAGCATGCGTTGTTTCTTCTTGGCCCATCCTCCTGTAGATGGCGACACGCCCAGCCCAATCCCAGCCTCGCGGCACGCCGGATAGCGAAGGCCATCAACCGGCTGCGGAACCTCCCCGACGACCAGCTGCAGCGGGTCGACGGGGCTCGTGCGCGCGCCTGCGGCTTCGGGCGCGAGGGTGGACCCGACGCGGAGTCGAAACGGGCGGTTTCGACACGGATTCACGGATTCGGTGAGTCCGACATGGATTCGACACGGATTCGACGCGGATGGGGGCGCGACGGGACAGATGAGGTCCCCCGATGATGCAACATAATTGATGTTTGTTCTGACGCTTTCGAGCTCGGGACCGTCAGAAGTCGATCCGGGATGCAGAAGTGGTCAGATCGGCCCGGGATGAAGAAGTGGTCTTGGGGGGCGGAGCCCGATCTTCTCCACACCGACGTCGCCCCTTGCATCGCCGACGCCGCCGATGCATGGGCAAGGCATCGGCGATCAGGGCGGTCTTCCGACCCCATCTTATCATCTCGGACCCCATAATGGAGGCCCCTACAGTCAACGCGCCTAGTAAGGACGCGCGCCTTCCTCTAGGGTACCCTTGAGTCCTTGCCTCTGCGGCCCGTCCTTCGCCGTTTTCACTGGCCGCCCCCCGCCCCAAAAATCCAACTTCGGCCTCCAAGGGTCTTGCGTCCTTACCTCGCGTCCATACTATACGCTTTGACCGTAGTCATTCTGAGCGCTGGCTGCCCAGTTCTTGTTCCGCCCCGGGGGCCTCTGCCAGCCTCCCCACCTGCCCGGCGCTCTGGCGCCGCTCCGCGCGGCCCCGCCGTGTGGACCCTCCTGCGAGCGCCGGCACCGGTGTCACCTTGAGCGACGCTGAAGATCGTCAGCCACGCGCACAAGGGGGTGGGGGAGGGGGGAGGGCTTCTGAGAAGCACCCCTGCTTCTTAGAAGGCGCGGGCCTTATCTATAGATGTAAGGCCGGTGCCTTCTAGAAGCAGCCTGCTTCTAAGAAGCCCTCCCCCCTCCCCCACCGCCTTGTGCGCGCCGCCAAGATCGGCTTCGACTGTGCCGACGTTGACGCGAAAATTGCCCGCGCAAGGTCGCCCGCGAGCGCCTCCGTCGCCCAGGCAGGGATGCGGCGTGCGCCGCTGGCGCCTCGCGCGAGCCACCGCGCGGCGCCGCTGTGCTGCCTCGCGCGAGGCCTTTTTATCTCTCTCTCTATATATATAGAGATCGATATACATATATATAATAATAATACTAATAATAATAATAATAATCATAGTAATAATAATAATAGTAATAATAATAATAATAATAATACTAATCATACTATTATTTAATCGCTTCGCTCATTCCGCCAGCCCATATTGTCGCACCGTTGCGGGCTAGCCGAGTTTTGGGGGCTCTTGGGGGCCTTTTTCGGGCCTCTTGGGGCCTCTTTTGGGCCTCTTGGGCGCCTCTTGGGGCGTCTTGGGGGCCTCTTGGGGGCCTCTTGGGGCCTTTTTGGGGCCTCCTGGGCGCCTTCTGGGGCGGAGGGCTCGATTTTTCAGTTCTCTGCATCCCTCTTGAGCCCCTCTTGGGCCCGTCTTGGGGCCTCTTGGTCCGTCTTGGGCGGCACTTGGGCCGTCTTGGGGGCCCTCTTGGGCCGTTTCGGGGCCGTCTTGGGAGCTTCGTGGGCCGTCTTGGAGCGATTTTGGGCGCCTCTTGGGTCGTCTTGGAGCGTCCGGAAGCCGAAAAAGCCAGAACGCCAAAAACATCGGAAAAAACAATGAAAAACAACGATTTTGGCCTCTTGGGGCTCTCTTCGGAGGCCTCTTGGAAGGCTCTTGGGGCGTCTTGAAGGCCTCTTCGGCTGTCTTGGGGGTCTCTTGGGCCGTCTTGGGGTCATCTTCGGCGCCTTGGAGCGCTCTTTGAACGTCTCGGGGGCCTCTTGAGCAATCTTGGGGGCCTCTTGGGGCACTCTTGGCGCGCTCAGGGCGGCCTGAGAGGCCGCACCCAGAAGGAAAACCATCTCTGAGTTGAACCGGGCGGGACCTTCCCAGGCGGCGGGCGGGGTACTTTTCGCCGGGGGACCCCCAGGGGCCGCCCCGCGCGCGCGAACTAGTACAATACAATTGTTAACCAGTTACCGGAGATCTTAGCACGCCTCTGGCCCGTTGGGCCGGCGAATTAATAATAATAATAATAATACTAATAATAATAATAATAATAATACTAATAAGTTATATATAAGAGATGTTTCCGTAGCTCGTACGTGCTTTGGGCGAGGCTCCCTGCGAGAGCCGGCCGCTGGGCGCCCCCTGGGCGCCACGGCTGGACGCCGCTCGAGGAATATTTGCCAGGGTGGGGTCCCGGATGCGCCCGCGGACCAAGCGTCAGATGCTCGGTTTGGGGACCTTCCTGGGGCCTACCTAATGGATCTGTTCGACCCCAGTTCGACTCAAGTTCGATCCCAGTTCGACTCAAGTTCGACTCAAGGTCGATTCAAATCGACCGGCGTTCGACGCAGCTTCGACGCACGGGTGGAGCGAGTGGCGCCAGCAAGGTCCCCAGAATGAGCAGCCAACAAGCGTCAGCTGGTCCGTTCCAGGAGATGGGCTCATGGCTACGTATCTTGTCTGTCCGAGGCTTGTGACATCTCCCAGTGCCAGGAAGTGTGAGCCAGCCCGGATGCTACCACTCTTCCCATTCAGGTCGAAAGTCGCCACGGCCGCAGCGCTTCGGGCACGCGCGTATCATAAACAACGCATGAAGCCGGCTTGCGCCAGAATAGCGGTCACTGTTCACATGTAGCAGGCATGTTTCGCAAGTAGCGCATCTTGCAAAAGGAGAGGCATTTTGACAGCAGCGTCAGCAAGATCCATATACCTCAAGTATGGTCTTTGCTTAGGGTGGGGGGTCGAACTTGCAGTGCCGCATTTCTTCAAGAGAGCATGATCAAACATATTCATCGTTTCGCGCGCATGTTTAGGATCGGCGCTGGACCCCCCTCACTTGTGCGCGCAGCGCACCAGGAGCGGCGACGTTTGTTCCGCCAGGGGGGTCCAGCGCTTACCCAAGAAGTCCGCATGGACCCCCAGAAGATTATGTTGACGGATCTTACCTCCAGAGCAAGACGACGAAGAGAGCAGCACGTCCTTGGTGCAAGCGCCCGAGCCGTGGTTTACGGCTGGGCGGTCACGGGTATTTCGTTTCACCGATGGACGGTTCAGCCCGCCGTGCGAGAGACGTTGTCAGAGCTAGCAGCCTCAGGAGGGAGCGCAGGAGGAGACGGGGCAGGACGAGCGGTGCGAACAGCCGGTGCGACGCGTCGCGTGCACCGTCCGCTCCCTGGACCCCTCAGCACGCTGTGGACGGGTTTTTTTCTGTGGTTGGCAGCGCCTCGGTGCCTCTCCGTCAGCCGCGCAGGGGCAGACGAGAGGGAGGTCTGGGACAGAGGGGGGAGGAGGAGGATCGGGTTGGCGGATCGGGTCGGAGTTGGAGGTGTTTCGGACGTTTTGAGCGGCTCTGGGCGATTTACAATCTTCCAGCCTCGGGATCTCAGCTGCGCCTCGCCGAGAGCGTGCCACGAATCGTCCCGACCGGCTGCAGGGGAGATCCGAAAAGTGACCTGCAAACGCGACGACAAGGATTACTCGGCTCGTGCGACCGAGGGCGGGCGAGGGGAGGGTGCGGGGGGACGCAAATTGCCGCACGCTGCTGATCTCGGCCCTGCCACCAAGCGCGGGCATGTTCCTCTACAGCAGGAACATTCAAACACATTTGTAAGATAGTCTGGGGACGATGTTTCTATTTTCCTGTACTGTTGGGGTATTGATTGACTTCTTGTTTAACGCTTCGTCTAAAATCCGCCTGCAGGGGGACATGCCCGACCTAAGTCAAGAAACGGTTCAGGATGAAAAAGCGGTCCCGGAGAATGGCGACAGAACAATACACATTCATACCCATAGGGGGGGACGGCCGGGGCTAGGGGTGCGTGCTGTCGGAGGGGGGTGCCCACTCGAACGGGACCCGCGCCCATGCCCATCGGTCGTTGAAAGTAGGTGTTTTTGGAGGCCCAGATTCCAGTCTACTTTCGGCGCCCCCCTGCTTCCATGATCGAGTGGCTTTACCTTTGCCGTCCTTTCTAGGGGGCGGGCGGATGCCCAATCTACTTCCAACGCCCTCCTGCGTCATGCTTCTACTTGCTTCTTCCGACCGCCAGGTACCCACAGCCAGCCCTCCTCCCCCCGGCCTCCCTGTGGGTGTGGGTGTGTGTTGCTCGTTGGGTGACCGCCTGTTTCCGAGGCTATGCCTCCTCTCGGCCTCTCTCTCTGAGGCTCCGCCGCGTCCTCCCCCCTTTTCCCTGCTTCATTCAAGCTTCGCGCGGCCCGCTCAGCTTCGACCAGAAGAGGGGCGCTCTCGACCCGCGGATCAAAGGGTGTGCTGCTCGCTCGTCGAGAGTGCGTCGCGACCCCTGGGGGTCGACGCTGCGACAGAGCAGCCGTGGCGGCGAGGGCCTGGGCACCCGGGCGCGCCCCTTGGCGAGACGGGAGCAGGCGCCGTGAAGGCCGGATGTGCGTGAGCTGGCTCGCGGACCCTCCCTGAGTCGGGCCCGTCCCCCTACACTCGGCATCGCTCGGACGTGTGCATTTTTTTCTTCGGCGAGGACCATCGAGGAGCATCCTCGATCTTTGGCGAAGAAAAGCACGCACGAAACCGAAAAAAGCACAGGGAATGGACGTCCGAGCGATGGCGAGTACAGGGGGATTCTCGACGAAGAATAATAAGTACCCCAAGAATGGCCCGAAACGGTCAAATAGTGCTCGAAAAATAGTCCCAATATTATTTTTGGAATATTTTTTGCTTATTGTGGGAGCATTTTTTATTTGGGGAGTCTCGACGAAGGATAAAAAGTACCCTAAGAACACCCCCCAAAAGGTCAAAGACTACTCGAAAAATAGTCCCAAGACTATTTTTGGATTTTTGTTTTGATTATTTTTGGGGTATTTTTTATTGTTTCGTCGAAAATCCCCCTGTAGGGGGACAGGCTCGACGTAAGGCAAGCAGTGTTCAACCGGTCCCCAGCTCCAGCCCCATCCCCATCCAGACCCCCACCAGTTCATCCCCCCGGTTGGGGATCTATGCCCCTCGAAATCTGGCAGGAGCTGCCCACGTCCCCATCTAGGGTGGGTGAACTGGCCAGCGGGGCCCAGGCCACGCGAGTGGGGATCGGTTAAACGATGCTCAGGCAACCCGGGCAACCGCGCAGGGATTGACACAGGTTGACTCCCAACCAGGAGCGAAAGAAGGGACGTACATTCGGTAGCCAATCATGGGAGCCTTTTGTACCCTCAGGCTTCCGTCTTTAGCGCCGATTGGCGTCGAGTAGCGTCCTGTAGTCGATGGGATAGCGCCGATTTGGCGTCGGTCAGCGGCGATTCGCTTCGAATTAGCGTCGAGTTCGCGTCGATGAGCGTCGATCCGGAAAGAGCCAACAAGATGGTACGGTACAGCCGGGGCCCTGAAGAAGGAGCCATTTTCGTTGGGGAGGGGCTCGGTGTTCCTTGATTGTTCTACAGTTTGCCTTCTGTTTTCCTGAGGTTTTCCATGGGAAATCGAAGTTCAACTTATGGGAGAAAGGGGCCCCGTTCCTTTTTTGGGGTTCCTTAGGTCAACGCCCCGACTGTAGGCTCCCACGAGTTGCCACCCAACGCGCACGTTCTTGGATCCTCGTCGGTGTCGAGCGCATGTGCTGCGCGAGCGTTCGCATCACGAGGCTGGCCCCGCGGACTGGGGGGCCGTGTGCGTGCACGTGGTTTTGGGCGCATACGTCCAGTGTGGGCTCCCGACCTGAAGTGTTTGCAGGCCTCCTAGATGGGGTCGGGGTGGATGGTGTCGGAGGATCGCGCCGTACAGTCGGGGCCCTGAAGAAGGAACCCTTTTCGTCGGGGAGGGGCTCCGCGTTCCTTAAGTGTTTCGCAGCTTGCCTCAGGCTTTCCTTATGTTTTCGACAGGAAATCGAAGGTTCACTTATGGAAGAAAGGGGCCTCGTTCCTTATTTGGGGTTCCTTAGGTCAACGCCTCGACTGTACGTCCAGTGTGGGCTCCCGACCCAAAGTGTTTGTCGGCCTCCCAGATGGGGTCGGGGCGGATGGTGTCGGAGCATCGCGCCGCATCGTCGATGCGTCGACGATGCGGCTCGATCTGGACCCCGATGTTCTTCCCGCGGACGTCGCCGATGCATCGCCGACGTCGCCGGTGCATCGCCAGTGCATCGCCGACAGACCGCCGGTGTATCGCCGATGCATCGCCGATGCGGCGCGTTCCTCCGACCCCATGAACTCTCGGGCCGGGCGAAAGGGCAGGATTGGGAAAGGGGCGGTACGACATTTGCTGCATGCAGCTGGTTTCGGCTTCACCGAGGGGCCCATTCCTCGATACATAGCCGCCTCGGGCGCAGGGAGGCGCCGGGAAAATCAGCTACGTGAGCTGATTCTCAAACCCCCCCTTTGCTATCCCCCCCTTCCGCCCGACCCGATATTCCAAACCGCCCTGAAGGAGGGTGCGGGTCCGTATATACTTCAGCGATGGATTACGGACACGGCATACCGCACAGTGAGGGTGAGCAACCTTCCCAAGGGTGCCCTTGCATCCTTGCCCCTTCGGCCCATCCTTGGCGACTCTCGCTGGTCAACCTCGTTCGAAACACGTTATCACGGGCCTCCAAGACCCTTGCATCCTTACCGCGCATCCTTGTGGTACGGGTTGGCTGCACTTGCCGTGGAGCGCCGGCTTTAGGCCGCCGTGTCCCACCCCTCCCTCCGCCGTGTCCCACCCCTCCCTGCAGTTTCGGGGACCTGCCGCTGATCTGTCTGCCACGTCTCGCCGACGTTGGGCCGAGTTTCCCCCCTCGTCCCCCATCCTGGGCCAGCCATCCCCCTCCGTCTCTGCTCGCACTCGCGGGGCTGCCGGGGAGGTCTTCAACGAGTTCAATCCAGCCCAGGACGGCTGCCTCGCCAACGGCCTTGCCGGCCCCCGCGGAGGCGGCGACGGAGCCGTCAGTGAGGATTCGGCGTAGGTGCGTCGAGCGCACCTGCTGTTCAGAGGAGGGGAGGCCTAGACAACGGCGGCCCTCCCCGACTCTCCCCGCTCTGCCTGGGCCTCCTGCCAGCGTCTCGCCACCACGGCCAGCCTCCCTTCGTCGGCCCGCGGGCCTGGCCAGAGCAGGTGGAGGTCACAGGCAGCAGCAGGGCGCGGCGGAGGAGCAGGAGAGAGCTCCAGGCCTCCGTGGTGGGGCCCGAGCAGAGTGGGGGGCGAGCGCCGCTGCATCGGCGTCGTCGTCGGTGCAGCGCCGATGCACTGGCGATGCGGTGCAATCCTCTGGCCCCCTCTGCTCGGCAGCCATTCGGGAGGCCTCGAAGGAGAGAGGGGGGCGGCTGCTTGAGAGGCGGCCCTCCGCGGGCCGGAGGCGCGAGGCTTGCAGGCGCTGCCGCCAGCTCCGAGAGGCTCTCCTGCCGCAGGAGGCCCTCCAGCAGCTGCGGCTCACGGAGGGCCTTCGTTCTGTGGGTTCGCAGGGAGTTTTTGCTGACCATCTGGGCCGCTGCGCGCGTCCTGCCCTCCTCCTCCTCTCTGCTTCCCATCCCCCCCATACCGCAATGCTCGCCCCCCCCCAGCCCCCCAGTGCGCCCCCCGCACGGCCGCAGTGCGCCCAGTGCCACAGTCTGTCACGGTGAGGGTCGGGGGCGTACGATATGAGTCAAGTACATCAGGACCATGATATTGCTGCTCTCCGCTGGCGTGCTGGCTCAAGCATACAAGGCGTGAGGCCTTGCGCACGCCGCGCCGGCCTGGGCCCGTGGGCCCGCGACGGGCTGGGCGCGCTGCAGCTGGCACGACCTGGCGAGGGATAGCGAGTCTCTAGTTTGACTTGGTAGCGGAGCTTGCCAGACCGCGGCAGGTGGGCTCTAGCGCTACCACTGCGCAGATTCTCGACCAGATCAAGGAGGCGAAACCAACCGACACTGAGGCAAGGAGAGTTGAGCCGGTCCTATACCACGACATCAGCTACAACATCCAGATGGACTTCGGCAGCGGTGTGATGGTTGAGGGTTTCCCGAGAGTGCCGCCAGCATGGGCGCCCGAAATCGACGACCGCTACCCGTTCAGGCCATAACCGCTGGCTCGTGGCCATAACCCTGTGGGCGGCAGCGGCGGCGAGAGACGTCCTACCTGAACAGCAAATGCCAGCGGTGACTCTGAAGACTGGGGGGTCAGCCAGTCCTTTAATTGTCCAACATTCTGTTGCTTTGACCAACAGAGAGGATTTCGAACACCAGAAAGGAAGTCCGACACTGCTTCGATACTTTCGTGGGTGCTCGATTTTTGTTTTGGGATGTGGTCTTTAGGTACGATGGGACAAGCATACAACCAGTGCGTCGGGCACGCGAGATTGCACTTGAGTCAGTTGCGAGACGGTGACCTAGATGACGTAGGAGAGAGAGAGTCGGAGGGCGGCAGTTCTCGCATCATCAGAGTCGCCTTCTCGTACATTTGGGGTGGTTCGCGCCGCTGGGCGAGGACAGCGGACTGAGGAGAACCAACGACCTTCTCGCGCTCGTTCGGCGCGACATTGAAACGGTGGACGAAGCGTTGACGAGTTTCGCGGTGGCCCCGTAGGCGCGCGATGACCCCCGGCAACTTCAACCTGGCGCCGCAGGATGATTCGTGGATGCTGCTCGGTGCCTTGCGATGCGCGCCGCATGAGTGGAACAAACTGATCATCCACTTCCGCTGCCACTTCCGAAACACGGGCCAGCAGTGCAATGAGATGGTTGAGTACATCCACCAGTACGGACATAACAGGCCCGCCAGCGGCGGAAATTGAACCGGTCACAAGTATACCCGACCTTCGAGTTTTGGGGAGACAGTGGCGTCTCCTCGAGTGAACCGGCGTCTTCGCAGGCCTAGGTATGGAAGCCTAGGCGCCGAGGCCAGCAGTTTCACCAGGCGCATGCTCGACCCACCTGCAGAAACGAGACATGCAGGGTGGCGCCGGGCACGATGAAGAAGGTAACGGTACCGACGCCAGCAATTACGAGGGCGAGGACATGGCTGGGCCATGATTCTTCCGGGGAGATGAGCAAAAGAGAAAGCGCCATCGAGCTGCATCTATGCGCGCGCTACCTGTCCGCCAAGAAGCGCTGGAGGAGGTTTCTCGTCGCTGTCAAACGAGGTGTCGGAGGTGTTCGGCAAGGAAGGAGGAGATACAGGCAGTTTCCCACTCGTCTGAAATGGCGGCTCCGGACACCCCAACTGTCTCGGCGGCGGCGGCAAGGGCTGCCGCCGCGAGAAGGGGGGCCGACGCAATCCGTTCGGTCGAGGCGGCATGGTGGCGAGGTGCGCTGGGCCCCCGCGCGAGTCAGGAGTCCACGTGGGCAAGGACTGCCCGCTCAGGGAAGGTGGATGCGGGGCGCGCCCTGTTTCTGCAGCGGGAGCCGCTGCGCCTTGAATCGGCTTCAGCATTGCTCGTGGCAGCCTGCTGTTAGGAGGTGCTCTCGGGCAACGGCTCTGGAACGTTCGCCTTCTTCGCAGAAGCTGCCGACGACGGCGTCGGCGCCAAGGGCGCAGAGGCGTCGATCGCGGACGCGAACCTGGCGCTGCGCTTCTGCTGCGCGGCGATAACGCCCGCGGCCCCAAGGCGATCCAGAGCGGACCAGCGGCCTAGGAAGCGAACGCATGTTCACAGTTGTCTCTGACAGCGAAATGCACGTCTCCCAATCGCCTCCTGCGCTGGAGACCCATGCGAGAATTGGGAATGTCGGCGGGGCTCAGCAGCCCAGCCACGCCGATGGGCCGGAGGCTTGTGGCCGCTCCAGCCCTGGGACTGGGCGGGCTGCGGGAGTGACGCCACAGACCTGGGGCTGCGAAAGCGGGGGTCTCGAGTCGGTCCCGGCGCGGCGGCGGGCGCGGCCGCGCCGGAATATTGCCTGCGCAGGATCTCGGGTATCCCAGGCATGTCGGCCTCAGTTGCGCCACCGCCGAAGGCCTCGCGCCCTCCGCCGTCGGCCGCTCCCGCCGCGGGCCGGGGGCGAATTCGCGCGGCTACTTCTTCGAGCGAGGAGGCCGCGAACACGTCGAGACGGAGCTGGTCGTTGACCGTTCGGCGTTCGACGACGGCGACGAGGTCGCGGCAGGGAAATCGCGATGCTTCGAAGACGACGATGAGGAGGACAGCCTCTCACAGTGCGACGGCGACTTCGGGGGCTCCGAGGAGGAGGAGCCGCGCGACCTGGGCCATGAACTTGCCGGGATGGACAGCGGCGCGATGGGAATATTGGCGGACCCTCTGGTTGTCGCCCCTCGAGCGTAGCAGCAATGCGAGATGGAGTGTTTGCCCCGCGATTTGGAGGAGATCAGCCGCCCCTGCGATAGCCGCTGGACGTCAGTGGAGTTAGACACTATTACGACTATCGTTGGGGGCAGTGGAATATTCCCATCGCAGCATAGGAGATATCCAGGAGAGGCGAAGGCGCCAGCAACGTCGACGACTACGCGTCCCTGGTGACCCCCGGCAGCAACTCGCCAGCCCTCCAGGGCAACAGCTCGCTGGAGCGCGAAGAGGCTGGATGCCAACGCGGAGCGAGGCCTCGGCAAGCAACGCCCGCGCGGTCCTGGGTGACATGATTTGGCGCTTCCAGCGGGGGCACTCATCTGGGCCTTGGCCATCGGCTGCAGCGTTCACTGGTCACTGGTGCCAGATCGAAAGCTCGAAGTTCAGGGGGGCGAACAAGAGGCAGGGGGCTGGGTGCCCAGCGGCCTTTTGCAGCCAATGGCCGAAACGTTAAGCTTCATGACGAGCAACTCCGGCGACATTCGGAAGTGCGCGCGGTTCGCCGACTGTCTGGCGGGGGCGCGGAGTGGCCCGCGTCGAGACTTCCGCCCGACGGGGCAAGGCCCCGGCAGTGGCGGCTGGGGCGCTGCCCGGCGCCTGGAGGGCACCGCCGCGTCAACTGCAAACGCTCGGACGTCGTTTTGGTCTTGCCACGGCGACGCGCGCGGCGCGGGAGGGAGGCTGGCAAGGCGACGAGACCCGCGACTTGAGTCGCCTTCTCACCGAAGGACACTGGAGGGCGTTTCAATTTTTTCCGGGCCGACCTGCCAGGGCGACGAGGAGCTGGGTGGAGGCGGCGACCATTGCGGCGACGTTGGATTCTTCCTTGGAGACGCGCGCGAGGGCCGCGAGAGCGGGCGGAGGCGACGTTGCGCTGATGGCCGAGCGCAGCAGCGCCGCGTGGGCAGATCCAAGAGCCGTCAGTGTTCACGGGGTTCTACCGCGCGAGTCGGAATTTCGCCGGCGTTCTTTCGGCGAGCGCGCTTTCCCCCATGAGGCCAGAGATCGAGAGCGGGGTGACAGAGTGGATCGCGCGATCTCGACATTCGCAGGCGCAGGTGCAGGATGCGCGCCCCCTGCTTGGCGGGCTTCCCAGGCAGTTTCGACCGAAGGAGCAGCAGATGAGCAGCAAGTTCAGCACTGGGTGCTCGTGTTCAAGGAGATCCACGACGCTCATCAGACAATGGCCCGGCGGTGCCCCGCAGGATCGCGCCCGAGGTCAGGGCGTTTACGGGCGCATTGAAGGATGCCCAAGCACGATGTCTTTTGACGACTACTACATCGTCTGTAACTTACGACGCGCCTGGAGACGACGGAGCGGCGCGGGCGCTTCAGCCTGGAGTTCGGCGCGCGACGCGTGTTTCTCATCTGGTTGTCTATATTGGAGGGATCGATTCGGGCATGGTTGTGCTGGAAATGTGCGGGGGGGCGCGGATCTGTCAGTCGCACCTGCAACAGAGTGAGGTGTCGAGGTGGGCCCAATCTCGATGTCATGAGCGATGTTGACTAGGCCGTCGCTGCGCCGCGCGGCGGGCCCCCTGGCGCCCGCGCGATCAACGCGATGGATCGCGGGAGGGAGGCCTAAGGAGACGTCAGCAATTCGCGATGTCACGCGTGGCGGCGGCGATAGATCAGCTCGGATACCAGGGGGTCCTTACTCTAGTGAGCGCTGCCGGATCCAAGGTTCATCGCCGAGCGCGTTCCATTATCCGTGAAGTGCCCGCTCGCAAAACGTCCACGATAATTTGTCTTCTTCTGCAACAGATCGTGAATCCCCAGCGGCGGATCCAGTCCATTGTGTGAGTAGTTTTCTTCGCGAGTAGTGAAACGCGCTTGTCCAAGCTACTTGGAGACGCCCTTGCCGGCGCGGCTCGGGCCCCAGGCGCGGCGAGCGCCATGGCGCGCGCGAGGCGCGCCGACGCCCGGGGGCGCGGAGCTTGTGGCATCGCGCGACACATAGTTGAACCGCGTGGCTGAGTTGCAGCGCGGCCAGGCTTTGCGGCAGCGACGTTAGGCTTAGCGGCGGCGACCGCGAGCGCCGCGACAGAGTGTCTGAAGGGGGCGGCGACCGCGGCGACAGCGCCAGCATTCCCAGGAGCTCCAGGTGCGGATTCGTCAGACGAACAGGAGGCACATCTTTGACCCGATGGAGATTTGGATCTTCGCTGGATACCCGGCGCACGGGCCCCGTTGGCAGCGCCGGCCGCTGCAGCGGCGGCCCCTCGCGTGGCTCGCCGAGGCGTCTGAGCTACCGGCAAGTTTCAGGCACCTCCTGACAGACCGCCACCACCTCCCGGGGTTCCTCAGCCCACACTTGGGCCGCATCAGGAACCCTACGGAGGATCGGGCCGACGGTTTGGAAGTGTGGAGCTTACAACGGTAGAGACATTCAGCGTGCGAGTGGGCCTGGCGAATGTCGGGCAATCGCACCGCAGGGGCCTAGATGACGGCGCAGACAGCGCGTCAGGGGGAGGCCGAGTCGAAGCCTGGACATGCGTCGATCTCCGCACAAAGCAGATCAGCAATCGAGGTCGGAATCACGCGTTCTGGAGTTGGGGGGGCGCGCACTTCTGCGCGTGTCTTATCGGCGGTGGAGGCCCGTCCGGGACTGATGATGCGCGAGATGCCGAGGACGTTCCAGAAACAGCTGCGCGACCCCCCAGCGAAGGCGGCGAGGGTGGTCGGGCGCCACGGGGGAAGATGGATATCGACTGGAACAGGCGGGGGCGTTGGGTCCGCAAGGAGGGCTGTTCTCAGTGCTTGCGAGGCGGTCTCACGGACGGCGCGGCGAAAGTTTCACCTGCGGTGGTTCCACGCAGACATGAAGATGAAGGCCTTGCATAGGCTGTTGACCGCGGCTGGGGCTCCGCCCAAAGTTTTGGCCCTGGTGGTCGAGCGCGCGCGGACGCATGCCGCGCGTGCAGGCTAGGGGTGAAGCGCGACAACCGCGCGATCAGCGCGAGCAAGATCAGCGTCAGTTCCAACGACGGGGTGCACTTAGACTTGCTGTTCTACGATGAACGGCTCGTAGGCCATCTGCGCGACGGCTGCGCCCGATGGACCTTGGCGAAGTTGCCCGGCGCAAAGACTTTGGATCTGTTGTTGGACTTCATGTGGACCGAGTAGATCCAGCAGTTCGTTCTGATAACGGTGCTCACCGTGGACGGCGAGAGTGCCCTGGCAGGTGAAGAACCTGGCTCCGTTCTCGGCCAGATTGGCTGGCCCGGTTGAAGGTGCCGGGGCATCGTGCGCAGATTGTGGGGCGACGCCGCGAGATCTTGCGGATCCACCTTAATTTGCTCGGCGCGCAGTGCCGCCCGGAGGAGCTGCCAGTATTGTTCGCGAGAAGATTGGGCGATGCCGTGCGCAGCAAAAAGCGCCTTTCGACCATCGCAGGCTGCGCGCCTTACAAGGTCCTCTATGGTCGAGCGCCGCTGATCTCTCGATTCGGCGACCGCAGCGGCGCCCAATATTCTGGCGACGCAGAAGGAGGTTGATTTTTCTGGCACTATCAGAGGCCACGAGAGATATGACGACGGCGACCATCGCGGCGACGGCCCGGTCGACGATAAAACGGTGAGCTCGGGCTCGGCTGGCTCTTTCTACTGAGGACCTGAATTCGGAGGTCGGCGACTTGGTGGGCATCCTCAGGCCAGGCGAGACCTCAAAGGACGCACGCAGTTGAAAAGGCCCGGAGAAGGTTGCATCGGCGGCGTCGCCGGAGACAGGAACGCTGACGGCGCAGTGCCAAAGACACGACGCGGCAGTGAAAGCACGGACCGACTTCTGTCACACATGCAGTTCGTAATGTATTTTGACGGTCCGTGCGGGATCCAGAAGCAACGGCCGCCATATATATATATATATATATATATATATATATATATATATATATATTAGATAAATACCCTGGACTGAATCCTGAGCCAATCGCATCATGACACCATCTTCGCCCCAGAAGGTGTCGATATGTCGAATCATTCCCCGTCCCCGTTTGTTGTAAGCAGTTTCCGTCGCTCCACAATGCGTGTCGGTAGGGCGGGTTGGCGTGGTCGCAGCACTGCTCATGAGCGCCAGGTTTGGCAATTCCATCATCTACCAGGGTGCAGGGCGCGCCGTTGTTTAAATGTGGCTGTCGCCTCGTTCCGCGCACGTGAACCTGAACGTCGCCCAACAGCTGCACGGAAGGATGGTGGACGTTGTCAAAAGGATGGTGTTCGCCACAGAGCCGCGCGCGTACAATTTATATATTGCGACAGGTACTGGCACGAAACATGGGTCGTCTCCAAGTGTGGTTCTCGCCTTGGCGCCGCGCCGCGCCCACGGTGGATTTCGGCTTCGGACCGTCGGAACACATACCCAGAGTTTCTTGATAAACGCCAGGGGGCGTCACCCCCGCCGACACACCCACATCTACTCGTCGCGGGCAGCCACCGCGCGCAGAAGGCGCTCCGACCCCCGTCGCGGCGCGACGACTCGGCGAAGTTGACCCCCGTCGGGGGGGTAACCCTTCACGCTTTTTGGGGAACCCGAAGTTTTGGATCTCGAGTGAAAGTGCCGTCGGCTTTGCGGCCTTAAGTTGAACAGTAAGCAGCAGCTACGCAGATGAAAGGCGGCTCCGCTCCATTAGGTGGCGCGCCCGCGGGAGGGAAGCTGGAAAAGCGGGCCTTCTCGAAGGTTCGGACGCCCCATCCACCTTCTGAAAAGTTGTTTTCCCCGAAGACACAGAACACTCTTTTAGAAAACGCGAGGACTTCGGAGATCTCCCGCCGCCTTCTGAGAGGGCCTTCTACTTTTCAGCACCCCCCCGCACGCCGCCGGTCCAAGCCCCCCCACTCGTCGGGAGGTCGCATGGGGTGGGAAGCGGGGGCGATAAGTTTGTGGAGGATGGTGCTGATTTCGACGCGGCTGCGCATCACGCATCCCGCAGCGCCGCTGCTGCCCGAGCCGGCGACGACGGCAGCGCAGGGCTGAGGGCACTGATGCGGGAGGGCAGGGGGGAGGGGAGGGGGAGGAGGAGGGGGAGGAGGAGGAGGAGGAGGAGGAGGAGAGGAGGAGGGAGGAGGAATGGGACGGAGGGGGGGGGAGGAGGAGGAGGAGGAGGAGGAGGAGGAGGAGGAGGAGGAGGAGGAGGAAACGGAAGCGGAGCATGAGGAGGAACTTAAGGAGGAGGAGGAGCAGGACGAGGATGAGGAGGAGGAGGAGGAGGAGGCGGACGAGGCGGAGGAGGAGGAGGAGGCGGAGGAGGCGGCGGCGGAGGAGGAGGAGGAGGGATAGGAGTCGGCGGAGAATCGGGTAGGCGGGAGGTGAGGGCATCGAAGCGAGTGGCGGGGTGGCATGCAACACGTGGTCACGGTTTCGTGCCCAGCGGAAGGGCGAGATGCGCAGGAGGGAACGAGCAGGCTTGCCAAGGAGTAGGGGATCCTCGGCGAGAGGTTGGTTGAGGTGATAGAGGGGGAGGGGATCTGGAGGGACAAAACATGGATTGTGCAGTATTGCCATTTAAGGATGAGTCCTTCTTGGCCAGGGCGTCCGGCTGCAGTCAACCCGCAAGGCAAGGATGGGCAATTTTCCCAAGCGTACTGTTGCATCCTTGCCTCCACGGTCTCTTCTTGGCCACTTTCCTTGGCCTCGCCCCGCTCGAGAAGTTCCGAAATGGCCTTCCAAAGCCCTTGCATCCTTGTCGTGCGTCATTATGATACGGGTCGACTGTATTCCGCGCAGGATGCCCTCGTTCTTGCTGTGTTGGTTCGTCTGATTCGGCTCACGTCTGTTGGAGAGGGAGTCGGTGCACGGCGTCAAGGGGAGCACGAGGAACACAAAGAGCCGGTGTAGGAGGATGGACACAACATGTTCATGTTGCAAGCGCTTGCATGACTGAAGATGCCATGTCGGGGCGCACAGTCGTGCCTGTGTGTGCCGACGTTTCGCCAGGACCACAATCCAGACTACAGCCGGCGCCTCATGGGCTTCTTGAAGACAGTGACCTACAATACCGGTGCGGGGGGATCACATTATTCCCTCTCCTCCAGGTTTGCTACATGGAATCGGAGCATGCGGGATCCAGATTGCCATGCCAGCGCCGATGCATCGACGTATTTGGGACTCCATTTGCCCGTCCCGACTTGGAGGTCTCCAGTACCGCTGCCCCCCGACGCCTTGGCATTCCTTGCCTTGCCTGGATATGTTCTCTCTCTCTCTCTCTCTCTTTCTGCTTTTTCCCAACCATCCTGTGGTGTTGGGTCCTCGTTTTGAAGAGACGTCGCCCCGCGTTCCTCCTCCTCCCTCCTCCTCCCCTTCCTCCCCCCTCCTCTCCCTCCCACACCCATTCTGGCACACCCCTCACACGTTTCGTGGCCCCCTCCCACGTTTCGTGGCCCCATAGGGAGCTCCACATGCGACCCCCCATTCTGGCACACCCCTCACACGTTTCGTGGCCCCATAGGGAGCTCCACCGAAGGCCCCAGTGGCTGCGCCCGCATGCGGTTCCACCCCCCATTCTGGCACACCCCTCACACGTTTCGTGGCCCCATAGGGAGCTCCACCGAAGGCCCCAGTGGCTGCGCCCGCATGCGGTTCCACCCCCCATTCTGGCACACCCCTCACACGTTTCGTGGCCCCATAGGGAGCTCCACCGAAGGCCCCAGTGGCTGCGCCCGCATGCGGTTCCACCCCCCATTCTGGCACACCCCTCACACGTTTCGTGGCCCCATAGGGAGCTCCACCGAAGGCCCCAGTGGCTGCGCCCGCATGCGGTTCCACCCCCCATTCTGGCACACCCCTCACACGTTTCGTGGCCCCATAGGGAGCTCCACCGAAGGCCCCAGTGGCTGCGCCCGCATGCGGTTCCACCCCCCATTCTGGCACACCCCTCACACGTTTCGTGGCCCCATAGGGAGCTCCACCGAAGGCCCCAGTGGCTGCGCCCGCATGCGGTTCCACCCCCCATTCTGGCACACCCCTCACACGTTTCGTGGCCCCATAGGGAGCTCCACCGAAGGCCCCAGTGGCTGCGCCCGCATGCGGTTCCACCCCCCATTCTGGCACACCCCTCACACGTTTCGTGGCCCCATAGGGAGCTCCACCGAAGGCCCCAGTGGCTGCGCCCGCATGCGGTTCCACCCCCCATTCTGGCACACCCCTCACACGTTTCGTGGCCCCATAGGGAGCTCCACCGAAGGCCCCAGTGGCTGCGCCCGCATGCGGTTCCACCCCCCATTCTGGCACACCCCTCACACGTTTCGTGGCCCCATAGGGAGCTCCACCGAAGGCCCCAGTGGCTGCGCCCGCATGCGGTTCCACCCCCCATTCTGGCACACCCCTCACACGTTTCGTGGCCCCATAGGGAGCTCCACCGAACGCTCCAGTGGCTGCGCTCGCATGCGGTTCCACCCCCCATTTCGGCACACCCCTCACACGCTTCGTGGGTGGCTCCATGGGGAGCTCCACCGAACGCCCCAGTGGCTGCGCTCGCATGTGGTTCCCCCCCCATTTCGGCACACCCCTCACACGGTTCGTGGCCCCATAGAGAGCTCCACCGAAGGCCCCAGTGGCTGCGCTCGCATGCGGTTCCACCCCTTTTTTCGGCACGCCCTTCACACGTCTTGTGGCCCCCATTTCGGCACACCTCTCACACGTTTCGTGGCTCCATAGGGAGCTCCACCGAAGGCCCCAGTGGCTGCGCTGGCATGCGGTTCCACACCCCATTCTGGCACACCCCTCGCACGTTTCGTGGCCCCATAGGGGGCTCCACCAAAGGTCCCAGTGGCACTGCCCGCTTGCGTCCGCCACCACCCAGCACAGCCCTTGTTCCCTGCGCTTCACCCACCCAGAACAGCGCTTCGTAGCCCTATAGGGAGCTCCACCAAAGGTCCCAGCGGCACCGCCCGCATGCGTCCGCCACCACCCTGCGCAGCCCTTGCTCCCTGCCTGCGTTTCACCCACCCAGTACAGCGTTTCGTGGCCCCATAGGGAGCTCCACCGAAGGTCCCAGTGGCACCGCTCGCATGCGTCCGCCACCACGCAGCACAGCCCTTGCTGACCGCGTCTCACCCACCCAGTACAGCGTTTCGTGGCCCCATAGGGAGCTCCACCGAAGGTCCCAGTGGCACCGCCCGCATGCGTCCGCCACCACCCAGCACAATTGCGGCATTCACAACTGCATATGGTTGGGTCCTTCGCCAGGCTAATTGTTGTTTTTGTTTGTGTTGCGCTCCCTCTCTCTCTCTCTCTTTTCTCTCTATCTCCCATTATGTATCTTCCTCACTATCCATTTCTCCCTCTACCTCTCGCATATGTTCGTTGAATCGCTTCGCTCATCCCGCGGGCCAATATTGCCTCGCCGCTTGGGGGCCGTGTTGGAGCATCTTGGGGGCCTCTTGGTGCTTCTTGGGGTGCGTCTTGTGGGCCCCTTGGGGCCTCTTGGGGGCCTCCTGGGGTCTCCTGGGGGCCTCTTGGGGCTGACGGATGGAGTTTTCAGTTCCTGGTCCCCGTCTTGGGCTTCGCTTGGGGCCGTTTTGGGACCCTCTTGGGCGCCTCTTGGGCGGTCTTGGGGCCATCTTGGGCCGTCTTGGGGCCCTCTTGGAGGCTTCTTGGGCCGTCTTGGGGCGGTCTTGGGGGCCTCTTGGGCCGTCTTGGAGCGTTGGAAAGCAGAAAAGACGAGAAACGCCGTACATGCGAAAAACGCACGATGTCCTAAAAGAGAGGGGGGATGTTGCTTGTTGGGGCCATCTTGGAGAGCCTCTTGAGGCTCTCTTGGGGCTTTTTCGCGGCCTCTCAAAACCATCTGGAAACCATCTTGAGCGTCTTGGAACGATCTTTCGGCGACTCGGGGCCTTTTGGGCCGTGTAGGGGGCGTCCTGGCGCTCTCTTGGCGTGCTCCTGAAGCGCCCAGGGGGGGTCGGCCGGGCATCGCCCGGACATCGCAGTTTTTTTTGTTTTGTTTTTTGTCTGGGGGTCCGTCCCCAGGGGAAGCGGCGCGCACGCGAACTAGAAATGGTGTCAATCTGCTAGCGGATATCTTAGCACGCCTCTGACCTGTTGGACCATCGCGTACACACATATATACCTACATACACATGTGTATACATATATATATATATGTGTGTGTATGCACACCTATCTACCTGCCTACCTACCTACCTACATATCTACATACATACATGTATACATACGTGCATGCGTACATGCATGTATGCATACATATATACATGCGTACACACACATACATACATACATACATACAACATACATGCATACATGCATGCATGCATGCATACATACATACGTACATCCAACCATACATACATACACACATCCATACCTACAGACATACATACATACGTACACCCATACATACAGACATTCATACATGCATGCATACACGTGCATGCATGCATACACACATACACGCATGCATAAACACATATATATATATATATATTTGTATATATATACAAACAGGCACGCATGCACACACATGCATACATGCATGATACATGCGTCATGCATACCTATATAAGCATGTATATACATATGTGTATATGCGTGTGTGCTTACATTCATTGATTTGCACAAGCTGTATGTATACATGATACCGCGATACTGTTGTAATATGTTTGCAAACATGGTTGTGCATGCATCTGGTAGGCTATATATTTGCACACATATGTCTATGTATATATATATATGTATATATACATATATATACGTATATATATATATGGATACACACGTATATCTATGTATATACAAGTGCATACATATATACATGTATACAGCTATGTATACAGACGCATGCATGTATATGTGTGAATATATATATATATACACAAATACATCCCAGGGGGGCAGGCATTCGGCCCCTGAACAGGTTCCTCAACCCCCCATGGGGTGACCGGGGGGGCCCTGGAGCGCCGCTGGAGCGCCCAAAGAGCTCCAGATTGCCCCAGTAGCGCTCCAAGACAGGCCCAGAGGGCTCCAAGACGCCCAAGATGGCCCCAAGACGGCCCAGGAGGCCCTAGAATTAGCCCCAGACTCTTCAAGTGGCCTCCCCGACGCCCCACGAGGCCTCCAAGAGGTCTCCTCAGAGGGCCCGAAGAGGCAAACATCGCTGATTTCCAGTCGTTTTTTGCAGGAAAATCGAGTTCTCGCCTTTCCAGTGTCCCGACGTTCCACGACGGCCCAAGAGGCCGCAATGTTCTCTCCAATGCAGCCCAAGAAGCCTCCAAGAGGGCCCCAAGGCGGCCCAGGAGGGCCCCGACACGGCGCCCGAGGCGTCCAAGACGGCCCAAGACCGTTCCAAGACGGCCCAAGAAAGGGCACAGGAGGGGTAACCCGACCCGACAAGCCGAGCTTCCATCTCGAGAGGCTCCCTGGAGGACCCTAGAGGCTCCCAAGAGGCCCCTAGAGGCCCCAAGAGGCTGGCCAGAGGCCCTCAGAGGCCTTCAAGAGGCATCGCAAGAGCGCCCGAAGAAACAAACATCGTTTACTCCCCGCAGGTTTTCGAAAGATTTTCGAGCTTTCGCCATTTCCGTTTCCCAGCCACGTCTGCCTTGGATTCCCGACCAGTGGTGTTGGAGCATTTTCCAGCCTTTGTTTCCCCTCAGTTTTCGATGATATAATTGTCTTTCTTGTTCCTCTTGTCTTTCTTCATCTCTCTTCCCTCGTCCTGTCCTCCCGCGTCGGAGGGGCTTCGCCGTATATGGTGCTCGCGATTTCTAAAGACCGCCCCCCCAGAGGTCCAGACAATTTCCCTACCGTTTCATCCCCCCTTTGTGTTCATCCCCCTGCGTCGCATGGTGCGGACACTGGCCATCAGCGTACAAGACTATCTCAGGTCCTGTTGGGGCCATCTTAGGCCATCTTCGAATCTCGACCTTCTCGCGCCTCCCCCGTCCAGACCCAGGCAGGGGGGAGGGGAGGCAAACCTTTCCGAATGGAGAATAGTGACCTGGACAAAAGAAAGCTCCAGAGCGATGCGCGGTACGTCACGGCCCCTTTCTTCAGGGTCAAAATGGCCGCCCGAATATCAGGTAATCGCACGTGCGGGCCACCTGAAAGTCACCACGGGATCGGACACATGCCTGCAAACACCACTTTCGGATACATGCGTATCACGAGGCGGGGGGGCCCGGGACGGGGCCCTCGACGGCGCATGGGAGGACCGGGGGATCCGGAGGCCTTGTCGGGGCGACGGAGGCTTGTTAAAATTGCCCGAAGACGGCCCCGGGTCGCCAGAAATGGCGTTCCAGACCGCGAAAAAGAGCAATGACGGCCCGAGATTACCCCAGAAGCAGCCCTTGACTGTCCAAGAGGCCTTCTCGCAAGGAGCCCCAGGATACGAAAATCATTGATTTTCCGTCAGTTGTTACTGGATTTTCGAGTTCACGCCTATTAAGTTTCCCGACGTTCCACGACGGCCGAAGAGGCCCCAATGACGTCTCCAAGACAGCCTCACAGGCCTCGAGGACGGCCACGAGACAGTCCAAGAGGGTCCCAAGACGGCGCCAGAGGCGCCCAAGACGGCCCCATGACGGCCCCAAGAGGGGGCCAAGAGGAGCAACGCGCACCGAGAAACCGAGCCTTCCACCCCGAGAGGCTTTCAAGAGACCCCGAGAAGGCCCCGAGAGGCCCCAAGACGCCCCGCGACATGCTTCGGGAGAGAAGAGCGCACGGATGCGCGCACAATGCGACATGATCGGTCCTGTCGTCGCGCTTGGCTCCCTGTGGTGTCTGGGGCCCGCCATCGTTGGCGCTCCATCGCCACACGACCAGCCTTCCTCGTACTTCACTTAAGTCGGGCCTGTCCCCCTACAGGGGAATACTCAAAACATAGTCCCCAGATTATGTTTGGACTATGTTTGGGCTATTGTTGGGGTGGGTATTTTTTTATTGTTCGTCGGAAATCCCCCGTAGGGGCAAAGGCCCGACATAACACTTCACCTCCCTGTCTCTTCTCTGTGTTTCTTCACTTCGTTCTCCCAGTCCTCGTCCTGCGCCATCTCACCGTCTCTTCTCTCTCTCTCTCGTTCTCTTCTCCCCGCCCCCCCCCCCTGGCTTCTGGCAGCGGGAGCAAACTTAACCAATTGATGCCATTGGGCCCCTCCCCCTGCAGCAGCATCACCGCCGTCAACATCACCGTCACCACAACCACCGGGCCGTTGGCTTGGGTGGCGGGGGGAGCGGACGTTCCCAACCGTTCTAGGTGCTCTAGGTGCACGGGATCGTCATCATCGTCACCACCACCACCAACATCGTCATCATTACCGTCACCATCATCCCAGTGACCAGCAGCGCTGTGTTCATCACCCGCATCACCATCATTGCGTAGAATCTTCACCACCACCGCCATTAGCATCCTCATCTTCACCGTCATCCCAACCATCATACGCAGTATCATCATGCATCATTGTCGCCAGCATCATCACGATCACCCTCATATCCATTCCATCATCATCATCATCATCATCATCATCATCATCATCATCATCATCATCATCATCATGATCATGATCATCATCATGATCATCATCATCATCATCATCATCATCATCATCATCATCATCATATCATCATCATCATCAGCATCATCAGCATCATCATCATCAGCATTATCAGCAGCAGCAGCATCAGCATCAGCATCAGCATCAGCATCAGCACCTTCATCATCATCATCATCATCATCATCATCATCATCATCATCATCATCATCATCATCATCATCATCATCATCACTCCGGGAAGTTGGCGGGGCTCGCCCGCCGCAGGCCCCGCGCCCCCTGGCAGCACCGGCGCCCTCCTCGCTGGCGGCACCGGCGCCGTCGACCCCGGGCAGTACTCGGGCGCCCGGCCGGGGGGCGATTGTGCCACGGGCGCCGAGACGTCGCGAGGGAGGCTCCAGGCGCAGCCTTCGGCTGGCCGCGAAATCGCGGCGCGTTCAGGCGCTTCCCCGTTGGCGAGAGGTCGGCCTGCCTCGGGACGCTCTTCAGCAGCTGCGCCTTGCCGGGGGCCTTCAGGGTCGCCCGCGTCGTTACGAGCGGCCCCCGCAGTGTCGAGCAGTGAGCCGAGGGCCAGGGGCAGATTTTGTTGGCGGCGCGCCCAGAGAGGCTGGGGAGAGGGTGGCGGCCCTCTGAGCAGTGCTGGGGGACCTCTTGGAGGGCGTGGGCCTTCTCACAAGGGCCCTGGGGTGCTTCGAGAAGTCCCCTGCCTTCTGTCGGACCTCTCCCGCTTTTATCGAGCCCGACCCAACCGTAGCCCCCGTGGGTCTCGACCCCCCTGCGGAGCCTGGTTTTCCATACGTTCCCGGAGGAGTCCGAACCCCGCCGGTCGCCTGGCCATTCCACCTGGGTCAATCTGGCAGGTGTACAATCTGAATTTCTGGGTGTGAGCGATTTTGGGTGTGAGGGAATTTGAGTATCATTGGCCGTGTAGGAGTGAGTTTGTATTTATGGCACGAGTGACAACGTGAGAGTAAGTCCCACAATGCTTCGGTCCGTGTATGGGTCTAAGTGAGTGCGTAGTAAGTCCGAGTATGTTTGGGTCTGACTATATGAGTTAGTGTGATTAGATAAATATTGGTAGTTGATCACGAATGGGTCTGAATCTGAGTGGGTTAACGCGTGAGGATCTTAACGCGTCTATGTTTGAGTAGCAGCGGCTCAGTATGAGTTCTTATGTTTTGAGTGAGTCTGAGCAGCAGTGGTCTAAACTGAAGTGTTTCAGCACGACTGTCCGAACGATACCTGGATGAGTGAGCCTGAGTGTGAGTTTCGCGTATGAGGAGCCTGCATGCTTGTTACAACGAGTGGGTTTGGCGTGTGAGTTAAGTCAGTTTGTGAGCGCAGGCGTCTGAGTGTGAGCGATTGGGTGACAGTGCGTTCGGATGTGAGTCGGGCCCGGCGCTCGTGAGCCCGAGTAGGAGCGAGTCGGAGCATGAGCGGCCGAGTATGAGCGGGCCGTTGCCAGAGTGAGGCTAAGTGTGAGTGAATGGGATCAGTCTGGATGTGAGCTGGTCGGGTTGCGTGTGCGATTGCCTCTGTGCATGAGATGGTGTGAGTTTGAGGGAGCTTGATGGTGAGACAGTCTCTGAGTGTGTGTGTGTGTGCTGGTGGATGCGGGTGAGTCCGAAAGTGAGTGAAAATGAATGTGAGTGGTAATTGTTGATATGAGCGACCAAGGAAGAGTGGGTCTCAGTATGTGGGTGCAGGGGTACGAGCGGGTCTGAGTATGAGTGTTCATGAGTATGAGCGAGTGTGTATACATCGTTACGAGTGTGAGTGAATCTGAATGCGGCTGCCTGAGTATAACCTGTTGTGAGCGCGGTAACTTCAGGGCATGAGCGGATATGGGTGTATGAGGGAGTCTGAGAACGAGTGAGGGATTGTTGAGATTATATAGGCTTACGCCACATCCGCCGACCCCTCTATAATTTACTGCGCCTCCAGGACTGCATTCCACGGGCCACCTCTGGGATAAAATTCCGAAGCCAGGGCGAGGAAAAGTAGCAAGAATGCGTCAATTTCAGGGTAGTGTGTGGCACGCTCTGGTATGTTCGTTGGGATCTCGTGGCGAGGATTCTCGCAGGCCTCTTCGAGGCAGTTTCGAAGGGTCTTGGGGGTCGTTTTGGGGCTTCTTTTGGGCCTCTTGGGGGCTCCTTGGGGCCTCTTGAGTGTCTCATGGGGGCCTCTCGGGGCCGCTTGGGGGCCTCTTGGGTCCTCCGGAGAGCTTTGTTGGGCGGAGCGCTGGAATTCGCGGTTCGTGGTCTCTCTCTTGGGCTTTTCTTGGGGCCGTCCTGGAGCTCTCTTGGGCCGTCTAGGGCGCCTCGTGGGCCACGTTGGAGTTCGTGTGGGTTGTCTTTGGGGCCTCCTGGGAGCCTCATGGGCCCTCTTGGGGTGGTCCTGGGGGCATCGTGGGGCCTCGTGGACGGTTTGCAACGCCGTGAAGGCTAACGAGTTAGATATGCTGAAAGTGCGCGTCTTCCCAAGGGAATTTCAAGATTTGGGTTTTTGGGGGGCTTCTTGGGAGGCCTATTGGAGGCTTCGTCGGGTGTCTTGGCGGCCTCTTGGGCCGTTTTGAGCTCACCTTGGGCGTCTTGGAACGATCTTTCGGCGACTTTGGGTTCTGGTGGGCCGTCTTGGCGGCTTCTTGGGAGGCGTCAAGTGTTGTCGTGCAGCTCAAGAGCGAGCCCAGGGAGCCCAGACCGCCCCGGGTGAGTTCGGTCCGGGGCCACCCCAGGCCGGGGGGTCCCTGGGGGGGGGATTATGGGGGGGGAACAATCTCGTACGCCTGGAGACCCACAAGGGGTTGGCGGATTGAAGCTTATTGCGGCTTTCTGGGATGACGGGAGGCATTCTGTCTCCTGTGGCATTCTGGGGCATTTTGGAACCTCACGGCGCCTCCTAGGGGGGGGGGGTCGGTTTCCAGAGGCTTCACTTGAAGCATATTGGGGCCTCCTGGAGCTTACTAGAACCTCCTGGGACCTTCTGAGGCATGGGGGGTTCTGAGCTTCCAGTGGCCTCCTCTGGGAGGGGATGAGGATTAGAAAGATAAGAAGGGAGGAGGAGGAGGACACGCTTACCTCCCAGAAGAGTTGTTCTTGTTTGAAGTCTCACCACTCGGGGTGCGAAGGCGCCCGTGATGCAGCCCTTGGTGCTCTCCACTGTGGGGCCCGAGCACGGTGTCTTATTTCGATCGCTGCGATCGTGACACGTTCAAAAAAGGTGGCCGCTGTACCCCGGAGAAGCCGCCCGGTCCGAGCGCGAACGGGCCCGGGACACATCCTTTGATGGTGGATCCATCCGTAGGGGGCCACATGCGAACCTAACCCCCACCCCCCCACGATCTCTGCGGGGGAGGGTGGGGTTCACTTCGTGCGGGAGTTCCCGAGCGAAGGGAGCCCCACCCTCCCCCTCAGAAGTCGTGGGGGGGCGGGGGAAGGGTTCGCACGTGGCACTCTGATCCTGACGGGCCCGAGGCCGTGCGCGCCAGCACGCGGTGATCACGGTGCTCCGAGGCCGAACATGTTCTCGTGCATCCCGGAACGGGAGCTCTGCGCGAGGGGCTCCGCCAATCCACGCCCGACCGGGCCCGTGATGTGCGCTCTGGTCGTTGCCCGTCGGGGGGCTCGAGGAACGTGCCTGCTAGCACGCGGTGGTCGTGCGGATCCGAGCGCGAGTATGTTGGAGTGCGAGTAGAACTGAGCGAGTATGAGTGTGACCGAGTGCGGCTGAGTGTAAATAGCTGAGCGGTGCGTTATCAGCTGGTCCGAGTATGAGTGGATCTGGAGATTGGCGACTGGGCCGCTTCGGGCCCCAGGATGACAGCCACCCCCGTGGAGAGGGTCGAGAGACCGGTGGGCCCACGTCGCGGAGCATCGCGGTGCTGGTTGCCTCTCGGAGGGGCGCCGAGGCTTCGCGTGGGAGCACGGACGCGATCGGCCGTGCGCGCCCTTGGGGGGGGCAGGGCCGAGCGGGAGCGAGAGCGGAGGATGCTGACGCGGTCTGCCCCCTCGCGGTCCTCTGCGGTCGGGTCAGGGCGCAGCTCGCAGCGCGCGACGGGAGGTAAAGCAATAACAGAGTACGGGCAGTTTGTGGGTTCTGCCTCTGGTAGCAGACCGTGTTCGGACACCTGGATACTTCAGACTGGCGCGCCCGATGATTCTAGATAGATTCGATGTGCCTGTCAGCTCTGTAGCTGTTCTACAGCTCGAGTAAAACTTAGACAACCGACAGCACCTGGTGTCTGGGAAGGGGCGTGGGTCGGCGGCTCAAAGATGAGTCCCTCAGGGATAGGGGGGCCTTCTGCTCGAGCAGTTGCGGAGCGTCCTGGCTTGGTCCCCCAATCGCCCATGGATCGCCGCCAAAGGGCCCGATAGCTCCAACTTGCCTAGGAGCGTTCGGATTCACTGTCAGGGGCCAGTCGCCCATTTATCAGCGATGTATTGCCGATTCCAGGTCGATGTTTCCCCCGATGCCCATCGCCCGCTGTCGTTGCCCCTCAGTCGTAGCTTCTCCCTGATCCCCAGCGCCGCGGAACAAACATTATCCTGGCGAAGGACCCAACAACATGCAGTTGTGAGTAGCGCAATTGTTGGTATCGTCTTCGGTGGAGCTTCTTATGGGGCCACGACACGTGTGAGTGGTGTGCCGAAATGAGCGCGGTGGTGTCATGCGAACGCAGCCATTGGGGCCTTCGGTGGAGCTCCCCATGGGGCCACGAAACGTGTGAGGGGTGTGCCGAAACGGGCGCGGTGGTGTCATGCGAGCGCAACCACTGGGGCCTTCGGTGGAGCTCCCCATGGGGCCACGAAACGTGTGAGGGGTGTGCCGAAACGGGCGCGGTGGTGTCATGCGAGCGCAACCACTGGGACCGTCGGCGGAGCTCCCGATGGGACCAGGAAACGTGTGAGGGGTGTGCCGAAACCGGTGCAGTGGTGTCATGCGAGCGCAGCCACTGAGGCCTTCGGTGGAGCTCCCTATTGGAGCACGACGCGTGTGAGGGGTGTGCCAACATTGGCGCGGTGGCGTTATGCGAGCGCAGCCACTGGGGCCGTCGGTGGCGCTTCCCATGGGGCCACGAAACGTTTGAGGGGTGTGCCGACATGGGCGCTGTGGTGTCATGCGAGAGCAGCCACTGGGGCGACCAGTGGAGCTCCCCATGAGGCCGCGAAACGTGTCAGGGGTGTGCCGACATGAGTGCGGTGTTGTCATGCGAGCGCAGCCACTAGGGCCTTCGGTGGAGCTCCCTATGGGACCACGAAGCGAGTGAGGGGCGTGCTAAAATGGGCAAGGTGGAGTCATGCGAGCGCAGCCGCTGGGGCCTTTGGTGGAGCTCCCTTTGGGGCCACGAAACGAGTGAGGGGTGTGCCGAAATGGGTGGCGATGATGGTGACAATGATGACGATGATGACGACGATTCTGATGATGACGGTGGTAGTGATGATGACGATGCTAATTCTGTTGATGATGATCGGATGGGGGAGGAGGGGGAGGAAGGAGGAGGAGGGAGACGCGGGTCGCTGTCTCTTCGAAACGAGGACCCAACACCACAGGATGGTTGGAAATATCGCGACGGGCCACGATGTTTCTGCCCCTCCGAGGGGTGGCGCGCCTTGTCGGCCCCGCGCGGAAACTGCCCGCGGCGGCATCTGGGCCCTTGCGGTGGGGTCGGGATCTCCAGGGGCCCACGCCGGGGACAGACATGTGCTCACGAGCGACG